AGAGAGGGAGGGAGGGAGGGGTGTTCAGCCTGTTATTGATTTCATTCTACTCTCTGTAGGACTTGAAGGGTACATTGGCTCAGGAGCTGGACTTTGAGAACGAGGCCAAGAATTCTGAGAGGTGTGCGGAGGAGCTGAAACACTTCAGTTTTGTTGTCGTACCCAAAGTGTTCTGGGAGCAAACCAGCAAGGTGAGGTCCTTATTAATGCTACAACATAACTGGACTTCCATCCTTTCCTTCGCTAAAGCTTTTTCATTTGTCCCTCCCCCGATTCAAAGAGAGTGCTGACAGCAGAGTTCTGCAATGGTTGCAAAATCAACAATGTGGAAGAAATTAAAAGACAAGGATTAAGTTTTAAAGATGTGAGTTGATGCACTCTACACGACACACGATGTTCAGTTATTGTAGAAATGCTGTCTGAAATGTCAAATATTTGTTGTTCAGACTGCAGATAAACTGATCCGAACATTTGCCGAGCAGATATTCTACACTGGTTTCATCCACGCCGACCCTCATCCTGGAAATGGTGTGTGTTCGCATGTGTTCCAGTATTAAAGAGAATATCCCTCAGCACATTTGTATTTTCTCTCTGCATAATTCAGATAACGGGGTAAATATTTCACCTGCCTCCTCGTGTTAGCATCGCCACGTTAGCACTTAGCTCAAAGCACTGCTGTGCCGAGGTGCAGCGTCACAGAGCGTCTGTTATGGCTGCAGACGTTTAGTCTCGCTACAGGTAGAACTACTGAATGATAAAGCCGAGAGGAGACACAGCTTCAAGGATAATACTAAAACGGAGTGAAATAATCCTAACTATTAGCTGGTGTTTGTTTTCTCTTCCCCCCCCCCCATCTTGCATGCTTTGTACAGAAATTGGTTTAGGAAAAGATCAAGGCTATTTGCAATCAGAGGTTTGCTGATTTTGCAAGTGTGACTTCACGAGGCAGGTCGTTCCATATCATTCATAAATCCTTTGTGTCGGCAGTTCTAGTGAGACGAGGCCCCGATAACAAGGCGGAGCTGGTGCTGTTGGACCACGGCTTGTACGAATACCTCAGTCAGCGGTAAGACTCGGCTGAGCGCGTTGAGCAAAACCCTGCGAGAATACTCCGTTATCAGCTCTAACTGTGACCTTTTACCCCAGTGACAGAGTGGCCCTCTGTAAACTGTGGAGGTCCATAGTCCTGAGAGACGAGGCAGCAATGGAGAAGTACTCCAGTGCTCTTGGTGTCAAAGGTGAGGACGCTTACCCTGAATGCAGCGTGCCAATAAATGCTGTACGTTCCCCTGAGAGCTACAGTTTGTCCCGCTTGTCAGGAATTTACTAACTTTATTACCGCAGATCCCCTTTTCTGTTGCGCAATAAAATAATAATTACATCTCATCTAATTTGCTCTGCAGAGTACTTCCTCTTCTGCGAGATGCTGCTGCAGCGACCCATCAACATGCGGGAGCTGGGTCTGTCCAACATCCTGAGTCGAGAGGAGACGACCTACATGCGTGAAATGGCCAGCCAGCGCTTCGACAGCATCATGAAGGTGCTGAAGTCCATGCCGCGACCCATGCTGCTCGTCTTCCGGAACATCAACACGGTCCGAAGCATCAACATCACTCTGGGAGCACCGGTGGACCGCTACTTCGTCATGGCCAAGAGGTTAGTGCGGCCGCTGGTCGCAGTCCAAGGACCAGTGTGTAGGATTTAGTGGCATCTAGCAGAGTTACACGTTACACACTGGACCTTCAATGGGCAAAGAAAGTTTCCCACAGCACAGAATGATCCTACTATGGAACTCCTGGGATCACTTTGGTTAATTCAGTGCCAGTGACTCACTGATTACTTGGCTACCTTACCGGCTGCAAAAAAACAGTTCACCCATTTAAGTCACAACAACTTTAACAGGACTTAACAACCATTGCATGGGTCTTTTGTTACAGGATGTGCCATTAAAAACTAAAAAACTAAGTTTAGTGAATAATTGGTACTAAACTGTCACCGATAAGTGGAGAAGAGTTTGAAACCGCACTTAGAGCTCCATGTTGGGAGATAAAATAAACCGGAGCCACAGGTGAGCCCTGGGCTACAGAGCAGTGTGTTGTCTGCTGTGTTGTGGATACCCTATTGGTAAGTGTGTTGCTGAATGTCACAGGCATGTTAAAATATTGGCTTCCACACTGACAGTGTCCCTGTTGTTGTTCAGTGCGGTGCGAGGCTGGGGGAAGATCCAGGCAGAGAGGACGGGGATGCTGCCTCGGCTCTGGGTCTTCCGCTGGGTGAGGGCAACGTGGGAGAGCCTCAAGTTTGAGCTGGCTCTGAGGTAAACACTCATTTAGTTGGTGTCAATAACACAGTTCACGTTCTGCAACCGAGGTCGCCGATATTAACGACCCGACTCCTTTGCAGATGGGAGATGGCGGTGGTGAACGCGGCGCGTTCCTTCCTGAGCCTTCTGTCGTACTTCGGTGTTATATCTCTGGACGCAGACATGTACGAGTACCTGAGATAGTGCACGATGAAGGAACGGAGAACAGGGAGCTATTCCGAACACAAGTTCATGCAATCCAACAGCAGGGAGCCCATCACTACCACAGCAGCTCCAAAAGCTGCTAGTACCGCTGCTGCTCGAGCACGAGCACCATTTCCACACCAAATCAGCCTGAACTCTGCTGGCAACCCTTCAGGATGGGGGGAGGAACTGCAGGACTGTAGCACCAACAGACTCCAGAGTATACTACTACTGTAATGATTTTAATTAAATTAATTATTATTATTGTTATATATTCTTTTAACTTGTTTTAGTGTAATCTTAGTGCAGCAAGTTGCTTTGAAATTCACATTTTTAAACTGCAAGATTTTATTCTGACAGTAATTTGTAGCAGCTGCAGCTTCCTGGCTGAGCAACACATCAGATAACTCTATTCCATGTCCAATAACTGCACCGTTGCTACATAACAAGCTACACACGACTATGCCAAGCTGCATCCAGGGACGGGACAATATACAATATTTTCGCTCACTGTGATAAACTCTCAGATAAGTATATTGTGGTGGATTTTCATTGTGATGGATTTCTCAACCAAATGGAAGGTAAAGATTCCTTTAGTGCCATTTCCAGATTTAAAAAATGTAATAATATCGCAATGATATGAGTTGCAACTCTTTTGGTCAGGATAATTGGGACATAAAATGTTCATATGGATCCGTGCGTAGCTGCATCCCCACTGAATGAGAGTGAATGTTCTCTTTAAGGGTTGCACTGAAGCTTTAATGACTGCAATACAGAAGTAAACGTTACTCAGTCTGTCAGCTGTTCTGCTACAGGAGTATCCTTCCAGTTTAAAGGAACAGTCCAGTGCCATCTAACCAAACGTTTTAAAATGATTTTAACAATGTTAATAAAATGTTCTACCTCCTTTTGTAAGGCATTTCTGTCTTTATCACTTAAAGCTCAATAAACGCACACACACAAAGCTTGTGTAAATTACTTTTACTGATTTTTGTTTTTATACAAAATATCCCTAAGAAAACATGGCTGCTCTCTTCTTTTTTTCATCTAACAAGTAAGAAAAACAAATCAGGTTTGCACAAAGATGGCCATAACAAAACATTTTCTCCATTCAATATAAAACAGCATTCAGTGCACGAGACGTGGGAATGTGGCTCTCAGAAATGAGCTGTTACTCTGTCGATGTCCAGAAGGTCATCCAGGATCTATTGACGAAAAGGAGGACAAAACGAGACGGATGTTAGAATACTGAGGACTGACTTCCCAGCGTCCTCTCTGCGGTCAGTGTACTCACTATGTCTTGAGTGGTACCGATCTTCTTGGCCAGCTCGCTGCGCTCCATTGTGCTCAGGTAAAGGTACTTGTTGAGGAGTTCTCCATCCAGGATGTTTCTCACAGCGTTCTGCAGGCTCCGTCTGTCACTGTGCAGCATTCTGGACGCGGCATATAAAAGGGTCAGTTACATCAAACATCAAAACTCCAAAGACCACTAAAGATACCAGTTCAAAATATGAGATGATGCCAAAATGGGACAAGAACCGGCAGCGGATACAAACCTGAAGGCCTTTGGGTTGAGACCAGCGTGATGAGGCAGCATGGTGTTCAGAGCATTTTGCAACATCAGCAGACGGCGATAAGTCTTCTCCTGCATGGGGAGGAGCAAGCCCATTCCACCGTCTAGGGTTGCTGTGGGAACAGATTAAAAAGCAAGGATTAGTCCACATTTAACATTTTAGGATTTGCAGCTGGGAGACTTTCCCACAGCTTCATTTAAGGGATTTAAGTTTACACTGATGATGAGAGAGGGACGAGCGTCTGCGCTGTGGAGGTCTTTGAAAGTTTTTGAAACGGATGGCAAAGTCGCCATTTAAAATGACTACTCAGCGTCGGTCGTTCCTTCAACACTGCAAATTTAATGACCTTTCTTCAGAGCTGTCATTACGATGAATTTGTGAAGAACAAAGAGAAACAGGAAACGGCAGCAAAACATATGACCATGACCCCGCCCCCAGGGCCACGGGCATCAATCAGAAACGCGTGGAGTGTGTTAATCTGGACAACTAGCAGTTTTCCTTTGTTGAAGACGTCTGGATTTGCAGACCAGGTTCACACACTACATAATGCCCGGTTACAGGTACAGGTACATCCTGTTTTGGAATATTTGATCAAGTTATTAAAGTGGAATGTCTCAGTGTTCTTTGACTTTGGCTTTAATTGCTGTACAGTTGTAGAATGCACTTACTTTACATTATCCCTGTAGACAGAGATTACATTTAAGTGTCATCCAAGACTTCCAACACCTAACGTAGGACGAATTTTATAGTTGGAATGTGAACGTGTATTTTTTGTCTGCGTGACGTGGGTCATCACGACGAGCACGAATGACCATACCTTCAATCCAGTACAGGAGAGACTTGATGATGAAAAAATATGTGCATATATCGAGCGTGACTGGAGTCTTGGCCACTTACCAAACCACGTGATGTGCTTGTTGTCCCAGGTCAGAGCCTTTTTGCTGCTGGCGTCCAGAGCTCCTCTGCACGGCATTCGCCAGAAAGTGTTGATGTTAGCTCCGGCGTTGAAGTCGGCTCGCCTCAGCAGGCGCATTCCTCCAAAGCTCTCTTTAGCTGCAACCACAGACCACACACCATCACAGGGCTGCATGTGCGTTTGACACAGTTACATTATGTTTGCACAACCGACAATATGGCATACCTTCAGGTAAATACATATAAACGTAGAGGTTCTTGTCTCGATCCGACACTAAAGGGAAAACAAAATAAAGGTGAATGAGGACAGAAGGACTTTTTTTCCTTTGCAAATATTTTTGAATTCACTTCCAAAGGGCATTACAAACATTACCCAAGAAGCCAAGCTGGTTGTTATCCACCATGAATTCGATGCTGTAAACCTCCAGGGGCTTCGCATCCTGTCGCCAGAACAACAAGAGAACAGTCAAATTCCAACAAAGACAGCGAGCAGCGGCGCCGGCTCCCCTCAGGATTAACAGCACAGGAGGCGCCACCGACACTCGCTGTACGTCTCAATCACTAAACTCTCCAATGCGTGTACTGCAGCCTACAGATTACAGTTCATCTCCCTCTACACTAACAACGCCTGATTGGTTGGAAGAGGGACGAATTAAATGCGTGCAATTACTGAAAACTCTCCCAGGTACAAACTAATCCCTTTGAAACTTCTCATTTAGTAGATGACTGCTTCTCACCCTGCTGACGAGTGACAGCGTCTTGCTCTCCTCCTGGTAGCGGAGCAGTGAGATGCTCTTCATCAGATCGGCGGCCAGGATGAAGTTCTTGATGCTGAACATCTGGTGGATGTGGAGCTGCGTGTCGATGAAGGCCATGCCCGTCAGGTCGTTGTCCTTCAGGACCCACAGGAAGATCTGCAGGGACATGGAGGGAGATGACACCCGCTTTGTATCAGTGTACGCCAGAATTTCAAGAGTTTTATATTTAAGCTCCAGTGTAGAGTTTCCTAGCGGCTGTAAGGTGAGGGCGTGGCTGAGACCTTCTGTCCGATGGCGGACACCAGGTACCCGTTGCAGTGGCACAGAGCTGTCACGGGCCCTTTCTGTTCCTTCTCGTACAGCACTTTGAACTTGTTCTTGGTGAGGGGCTGGCCGGGCTCGGGCACCACTTCAATCACATCCATGATCACAATCTGTATCAAACAAGAAGCCATCAGATTCGTCTTTTCATTTCTTAGTGTGGTCATTTTGTACAAACGGCGTGTGTGTGGCGGGTATTAGCTGTGTGCTGCTCACCCGGCCCCTGCAGGTGACCTCCTCCCCCTGCATCAGGCAGGTCCCCGCTGCCACGTAGCCCTTCAGTCCAGATACCGTCTCCTGACTCCTCAGTGCCACTGTCTTCATGCAGGTCACGTGTTCCCACTCCTCCAGGTCGATCCTTGGGAGACAGAGAGGGTTCAGGTTTGTTTGTGTGGATCTTCATTAGCTCCTGGACTGTCACAGTAGCTACTCTTCCAAGTTAACTTATTAACATGATTTGCGTTCTTCACAAACGCACTGCAACAAGAGGAATCTCAAGACAGTAAAAAGCCTTGTTTCTGGGAAATGAGTCTTATTTTTTGTCTAAATAGAAAAAGAATCTTGTGAAGCGTGTTTTGCATGAGAAAAGTAATCTGGTTTTAAGAAAACATATCTAACTTTGTCTTAATAAGATATTACAGCTTATACTGAGCCAGATTGAATCAGTAACAAGTTACAGCAACGGTTGGCATAATATCCCAGCAGAGGAACAAGATTATTTTCCTTTTTTTAAGAGTAAGACCACTTGCACAACTTCTCAATGTAAGAGAAAGTAGTTTTGTCCCAGTTGTAAACAACAAAGAGCTTAAAGCTTAAATAAAGTGACAAAAATACTTATTTTAAATAAGTTTCCATTGCTTACAATAAGCACAACTTGCTTAAATTCTTAGCATTTTTTTCAGTTTTAGGGTCCATACGGTCTTTCAGTGGCTAGATTGTTATGCTAGTTTTAAGTAGGAGAACTGATCTAATCAGCACTATTTTGTTATTAACGGTTAATGTTGGTCAGACTGCTGCTGTCAGTCCCTCGTGCTCAGTGTTATATAACAGCCAGAGCAGACAGGAAGTTTCCCCTCACTGATTGATACATTTGATGTGAAAATACAAAGAGATGTGTATATGTTCTCTTTAAAGAGTCTGTATCAGTGTATTTTGCAGGGGTTCATATTATTTTTATTATAGCATTTAGTGCATATTGGAAATCAGAATGAACCTAACGTGAAGAAACAACCAGAGAGGCAAACACAAGCAGCAGCGTGGAAAAAGTGCCAATGCTGCCTTATTTTTTAGGTACCTTCATGAATGACTGATCACAATAGAAGAGGGGGCATTAAACGGTACACTGGCAGCTGACACTGCGGGACAACAACAAGCTAAGAGAAGAAGCAGAGCTAGAGAGGATTTCCTCTTTGCTTTTATTAGAGGGGTGGCACTGAAAGATTAACCAGTGCCAAGCCTGCAAAAGTTGTTTTGTTGTCCCAGGTTAATATTACACCTCGGTAAAAAAAAGCCTATGTTTGCCCAGCACTGTCCCATTTCTCCGTATTATACTGGCAGAGGTAATGGGGAGCTAATGGTAATGCAGAGCAACTCAATGACCAGGGACTTGGATAAATGAGCTGACATTCTCAACTGCCCCTCACTGAAATGAGGGAAAGCAGCCATGTGAGACTAAATTAACTGTCTACAACTTGGACAAATGAGCCAGGATTTTCAATTAAGCAGCACAAAGACACCAGTGGGACCAAAAGAAGAACACAAAACTGAGCTTGTGCGGAGCACTGTATCCAGAGGTGCCTAACGTCTATTACAACAAGGCTTTCTTATTGATTCTGCACAGTGCTCTTATTTTTCAAAGGGAGAGAAAGAAGAAAGAAGACAACAACGGAGTGTTTTGTTTTACCGTGTGTTGGGAATGGTCTCCCAGCTGACTGGAGAGATGAGCTGGATGGAGAACTTCTCCTGCTGAGGATTTATGTAACGTTCATCTGCAGGGTGACAGACGAGGAACAACCGTTGGGTTTGTGTGAAGGAGGAAAATAAACAGCCAAACAGGACACACGTTGTTGCAACGTTGATCTCGAGTAAATGTACAGTAAACAATATCAGTAAACAATAACAGCGATCTTTACATAGATTTGCTTCATTCCTTCAGCTCCAAACTTAATATAACTTCCCTACTACATGTTTACTGCTATCTTCAAGTCAGAGATTTCATCCAGGAGTGTATCACAGCATTCACAATAAAGCCAAAGATTTTTTACGATTTACTACTCATCTACAACATCTGATCTCCGGCTTCGTCACAGTAAACCATTAGCTGAAGGTGTGTAAACCGTTGTTGACATTGCTTGATGAGACCCAG